GGCAGCAGTTTCTCACCCTTGTATATCCATGTGGGAACACAATTCTGATACAGTGTAGTAAATGTATTGAAGAAAACAGTGGCTCCATATATACTATCTGTGTGCGGGCAGTTGGGGAATTACCCTGAGCTGCCTGTAACAGGCCCAAGATGCCCATCTTGACTTTCTCCATGCTGGAGAAAGTGTAAGGTCATTAATTTAAAAGAACCAAGTGGATATCTATGCAGCAACAAGGGAAGAGATTAGTTCAAGGGTGGTCATTAGAAAGCTGAACTGCCAGTCCATCTGGGACGGATGCTTCCACACCTGAAATCAGTTTCTGATTGATAAGCTATGAGACAGTCACTACTATCTGTTCCATGGCTTGTCAGCCTGAAGAGAAGGTGAGTTTCTCAATTTGACCTAAGTCTCTTTACTATTAAGTAGAGCATTATATCCAAAATCCATGGATATTTGCCAAACTCAAAGTAGTCTATTGCCTTTGATACAGTTTTTCTTCTTCCTGTTGAATCATGGGAGCATTTCTTGCTGCTAAATTAAATGCAGGGTTTTGTCAGATTGATCTTTCTAGCAATTGTACATTGTCTAGTTTATGAGTAAACCTTCCAGAGTAATAGGGGCAAACCAAAAAAATATTATGCACAAGTAGCCTGATTTATTCCAGGAATGTGCCTCACCATTTCTTGCCCAATCTCTGTAGAGCTTACAAAACACAGTGGCTTTAGGACACAGAAAATGGTGCAAGACATTCAAAGATCAATGAGGCAGTAATTGCTCAGTTGATTCTGGTCTCTCCATTCACTCATCCCTAGGTCCAGAATCACTTCTTGAGAAAGGCTAGGGGTTCATTTTTTTGTATGCAAAACAAAGCCAAACTTTAGTTGAACGGCTCTTAACAAACCAGAGAAAATGATGTATTGTAGAGGAATTGGAGCCACAATAGATTAGATAAAATTGAAGTAGAAACGCCTATTTCTGTCATCTGTACTTACATTTCAACAAGGGTTTTAGAGTCAGGAAATACATCTCACAAATGCCTTGAGGTTCACATAATAGTAACTACACATACACAGTGTATCTTTCAACATAACTGCACATACTCACTCCATTAAAAAAAAAGATACTGACAGATTTATAAAACGTATTGGCCTTGCACTGTTAATCTCAAGAATACATTTTTGACTTAATTTATTTTTGCACTGCATAGTAGCTCTGGTCACCGTTAGCGATCTGTCAGCATGTCCATCATTACTCTATTTTCAGAATACTGGAGTACAAGTGCCAAAATACATATTTACAGTGTACAGACAGTGGTGGCTTTGTCTTCCTTTTAAATTGACTTCTGCAATGCATCTTTACAAGGAATATTCAGCGACTACATGATAAAAAGCATCATATAAAACAAAAGAGGTCAAAAGATTTAGACTTCTAGCCCAAGACTAAACTAAACCATGGAAGCAGAATCCTCAGCTTTCATTGCAATTGCTGTAGTCTCTATATCAGAGACTAAGAGCAATAGTCCAAAGCAAGATAGCGTGTGTGTGTGTGCATGTTTGCGTGTGGTGTATGCAGTACAGCATCAGTACACAAAATGCTAAAGGTGGAAAGTACCGAGTTTACAGCAAACTACTTCAGAACTGATCACTTCCACAGTGAGTAAATGAACACAAGCCACCAAACACAAACACTGACCATTTTCAATACTAGACATTCAACTCTATTACATAGGTAGAGTTAAAAATATTTAAGAGTAAAGTTTCTCGTTGATGCATATGATCACTTGTTAACATGGTGGGGCTAGAAAATGGTACGTGGGGTGATATTTGCAGGCCTAATCACCTTTAAAGATTTAGCTGGATTTGTAAAAGTTACCAATAGAAACTTTCTTGGTGGAAAAGACTTTTTAGTGGAAGGAAACCAATTTGATTGGCTCTTTCCACAAAAATGTGAGTGATTATTCATGCTAGAAAGATTTGATTAGCAATTTAACAATGTCTGGTAAACTCCTATGATTTTTTTGAGTTTTTGTCTCCTGATCTTAAGTTTTTATGTCTTCCCTAGTGTGACACAATATGCACGCATATGTAAACATACAATTTGTTTACATAGAGAACTGGTTTATGGTGAAGATAAGAAACAATTTTTGTTATCAACATGATAGCTATGGCCTAAGATAGAAACACCCCTCTCATACATATCCCACTGCAAAACCAGAGGTCAAAGCTAATTTATAAGGAGAGAAAAAAGTTCTGTATACACATTTTCCCCTGTCAAATTACTGGGGAAAATGTTAAAGAAAGTTTATCATATCATACTCCGGTGGGCTCAAATCATAGCACAGGCATCCAATTAATTGTATTTGAAACATCTATTTATAAATAAATATATATGTATATATATATATATATATATATATATACACACCAAAGAAATTAAGCCCTGCCATTTTTCCTTTGTGCTTAAAAAATTAAAGTCACTGTTAGGATACACATGTGCCAAAAATATTTTTTAACAGGTTTCAAAGATGAGTGCATATAAATATGGCAGAACTGAGTGGGTTACTTTAAGAAAAGTATAACTATTGGAAATCAATTGAAAGGGATTTTATTTCTGCATTTAAAAATTAGATGAGAGCAAGAGTACAACTTCTAAAAACCAACAATGTGACTCTCACTCTATAGGAATTTCATGGAAAATTCATTTTGTTGCCTCCATGAGTAGTTGGTTGGTAAGTTTTCCTGAATTTTCATGATCAATTTACAAACTTACATTCTGACACTATTCTGAAGACATCTGCTTTATTACCTATACTTTAGGTCTCACGTTTTTTCAACTGTAATAACTTCCCTTCTCGTGATTCTTTTTGTGTGGTCATTTCTTATGTTTCCACGTTTCTTGGTTAGTAACTAAAGGAATGAAAATCATTACATAGCCAAATCATAGTTTTTGTCACACAACTTAGTCACAAAAATTAAAATGACCCAAACTACATATACACATTTCTAGCTAACTACACCAATGTCTTAGTTAAACCATATACATTTCTGGCTTAATTTGAATGTATGGATTAGCAGTTAGAAATTGCCAAAGGCTTTTAAATTTTGCAAACAATTCCATACAAGCATTGCCCTCCCCTTTCACCTGTAAAGTTAACAACAAAACAAAAAACACAACTTGAACCACACCATTCATCAGTCACCTAATGTTCTAAATGACTCCAAAGGTTTCTCTGTAATCAAACATGAAGCAGCAGACTACACAACAAGGACTTCAAGTACGGGTCATGCCAATCATCCAGTCATAACATTATTGAAAAAGTACAGTTGTCCTCAAGGAGGACACTTCAAGAGAAGGAGCATGGCTGTATTGTAATTTCTTAAAGGAAAAAATAGTGTCTTTGGATAGAAAGAAACAATGTAAAAAATCCCTTTTTTAAAATGCAAAGATGACTCATTATCATTCTGCATTTACATTACTGCCCAAAAGACTGGGCCGGGAAAGACCATTTTCTGTACAGACACTAGATAATCTCTGTATGAAAAGACAGCATCTGATATGGGAATTAACAAGGGAGATAGTGGTCGATTAGCACACAGAGAGACTTTCATAAGGCTGATCCCATGAACGGACCTTTGGATCCAGAAGTATGTCTTCATTTCTTTTCTTTTCAGTTGAGTTCCTAGCAAAATCTTGAAGGATGAGCTGTTTTCACTTTGCATTTCTTTCTCCATTTATGGAGAGGACAGAATAATGACACCAATAGTACTTTGGTTTTTTTTTTTTTTTTTTAAAAATAATTTGCTTTCTTTTGCATGCCACAGGACAGAGTTCTAGTTTCAAAACAGGGTACACATCAAGAACAAAAATATCCCCCCTCCCCAACCATCTTTATTTTCACCAATACAAGAAATCCTTCTGGAAACATAAGCAAGTGACTAAACAGGTATCAAACCACTGAATCTACATGTTAATACATAATCTGTTATGGCAGAATAACCAAGAATTTTCCCTCAGAGAAAGATTTTAATTTTCCAAATATAGAAGAGTCTAAGAGGATCATATGTGAACAAACAAAATTCTCTCATTCCAGGTTTTATGGTAAAGATGAGTAACACACTGGCAGTTGAAGAAAGTTGAAACTCTTACTAATAAATAGATCCAAATTAAAAATTTCTACAACATTTCTTTAGAAAACAGAAGCAGAATTCCTTTTTAAAAAATGATCCTGTGGAATGCCTTTACTCCCATATTTATCTAATATTTTAACAGTAAAACAGACACAAGAATGTTGATGACAGCTCAACGATGTTGGATGCAGGACATTTTACAGGTACACTTTAGTTTAAAAGTCCTACACGTTTATTGACTAAGGCTAGACAGCAATTCATATGATCCTATTTGGTGCATTTTCTACCATGGTCCAAGATCATTATATGGATACAGCCAAGGACTGGGCCCCAACTTTCAGGAAAAAGACCACAAAGAAGAAAATCAGGTGGCTATTTGGTCCCCCCAGTTGATAATTTGTGTCCTGGAATTGGAAAAACAAAAGGTGGAAAAATATAGACTGCAACAAGTTAAAGGACTTGGAAAAAGTTGGTGGAGAGTGGCACGGTATTCTAGTAAGGTCACTGGGGTGGGTGGCAAGGGCGCTGCATTGAAAGAGCATCCACGGGACCAAGTACTTAAAACGTCTGGTGGTGTCATTCCCTCAATGACTTTAGAATATCTGTATGCGATAATAAATAGATCAGTTATGTAATAAGGCAGTGTGTTGAGTATGCATTCGTCCTGTGGAACGAACCACCACAGAGAGAGATACATGATACCATACACATTCTTTAAGTTTTCTTGTGTTATGTTTGATTTGTTTTCAAGGCTATCCAGGCTAACTCTTCCCGGGGATTTCCTTGGAGAGAAGAGTGGTCCACTGAGGCTGGTTTGCTTAACCTCTCCATTATCAAGAGATGATGACTGGCTTTAAAGAAAAATAAAGCTGAAGGTTGTTTGATTTTTATTTTTTCCCTTTTGGTTGCATCATTCTGAGTGTTTTCATATAAACAAACAAAAAAAAATTCACAACCAAAAAAAAAAAAAAAACAATAGTTTTTGATGCATCCAGTTGTTGTATCCTCAAGATGTTCCAGATGTTTCCAGGTAACTCTGTAGTTTACGGACTGTGGTTTTGTCCAGCGAACAAAGGTCAAAATCAAATGTTGTGTTTGTGATATGAAAATGTCCAGTTTCTTCTATAAGGTTCACGATCTACAGGAGTAAAGAAGAGAAAGTTTGAGCAATAAGCAACAGACATTAAAAGGCAAGAAGAGAGAGAGAGATGGAATGAGTCAAAATATGGAGCTAAATGATTAATATTCTCATTTGGTAGAGCAAGAGGCCCTATCTTATTAACGGCACCAAACTATTTCTTGGTCAATTTGGTAAATCAGAGGTATATTAAGCCTCAACTATGATCAATGAGAGCAAATTATTTGTTCTTGTCATTCATGTCATTTAACCTGATACCTGCTTTCACATCAGCAGCCTATTTTACTATAGGATGGGGAGGGGGGTGATATATTTCACCTACTAGATGAGCAATTAGGGGGAGATAAAATTTCAAGACTCTTTAAGAATTAGTTACTGCCTCAATGCACAGTGACTATACTTAACAGATGTAAGGATATTCCTGACTAGAAATAACAAAATTCCTTTTTAAAAAGTATATACACACTACACACATATGCATACATATATGCATATGTAAGGATAGTTTTCCTTTATTACCCCATTGCTGAAAAGTCAGATAATACAGGAACCCACAAGAAGAAAACAGAAACCTTCTATAATTTCCTGAAGATCACGTGCAGTCCATTGGAAGGGACTCTGGGAAGCCTCTGGGGTGCTAGATTTGTTTTGTTGCTTCATTTGGGTGTTAGTCACTTTGTTAAAATTTATCTAGCAGTACATTTTGTTATATTTCACCATAACATAAATAAAAACATATTTATACATGTATTCAGTAGGCTTCTTTGTGCATTTGGGGAAGATTAAGCATTACCTAGAAAGAGCAAGGATGCCGCTCTCTCCCTGATTGAAATAGTTACACCTCATTTCTTAGTGTATTGGCTCCAACTTTCAGGAATATGATAAATTAAAGTGGTGACAGAAACACTCTTATCTTACCACGGCTTTAAAAAGGATGCTTCGGAGGTTTCAACATTAAGAATGATGTTGGTTTTTGGTTTAAGAGATTCTTTCATCATGTTACATGTCTTTCCTTTCCTATTTTACTAATAATTTTATCAGAAATGGATGCTATGCCTAGGTAGTGTGGATTTTAAGTATGTATGTGGTGAGTAAATTGGTCTGGAGGGAGGTGAATGTTAGCTGGCTCTGTGAGGAAGAAAGTAAAATCAGCCTCAGGGTGATAGAAAAAAAAACTTGCACAGAAAAGACACTTGTCAAACTTTCACATATTTTTAGTTGCCTTTGTTACTCTCTTTCTGTCACTGTGGTCTGAGTCTTCCATCCAGTAATCATTAAAAAGGAATGATTTAATTTATTTAACCTACTACTTAATCAATGACGTTTTGGATTACCTAATTTCAGATAGAAAAGACCAACATGCAACGGAGTGTGCATGTGTGTGTGAAACTGCAGTAGGTAGGGATTTTAAATTATTTTTTTTAAAGATTAATTTATGCATGCATACAAGAACTGGGGTAAAGGCCAGAGGTGTGTGTGGGGGGTGAGAGGATTCACCAGAGACAGAGTGGGGAACAGAACAGGCGGATTGACTGAAATACACTGCTGAGGGGAGCAGTGGGTGAGCCAGGAGAGGTCTGCTGCACCATGTGGGTAGCTCACTGTCTGAGGATCGAACTCGTGCTGCAGTGGCTGAGGATAGCTTCATAGGTTGCGTCTTAACCCCTTGTGCCACCAGGGAGGCCCGGGACTTTAAATTATTTAGAAAATATTTTTATTGAATTAATATTGGTTTATATTGTTGTGTGTATTATAGAGGATCAAAATGGAAACTTTTGACCTTCTCTTCTTATAATTAATTTTCTTAAAGAAAATGGTCAATTTATGAACAATTCCCTATGGGTCAGTGGCTTGAGAAAGGAAACATGCTCCCCATTCCTGACGTATTTGACTTCTACAGGAGCATAAAAGACATACTGGCCCTCAATCCAATTAACTACACGATTTTAGATTGAGTTGTTATGTCTCATTCAAACTCTGACACTGCCTTTTTTGTTTTAAGGCAAACTTTGAGTTTAATGATAAAACAAGTTACTACCATTGTGAAACCATGACAGACACAGTAAACTGCCTTTCTCATAGCCATTCATTCCTCCTTCTTACCAAGAGAAGCTTGATTTTCCAAGAGTGGCAACACAACTAGCTAAAACACTTAACCTCCCCAGACCCACTTGCAGCACTTAGCAGAGACTGCTATGTACAATTTATTTGTCAAGTGTCACTGGGCTTATAGGAAAATTTTTGAAGCATTGGGTAATGGGCATGTGTCTTTTGTGTTTTGCCCTCTGTCCTGGCTCCTGTTCGAAATAAAAATGCCATCTAAAATTGCACCAGCTCTCTTTCCTTGAGGATATGTGCCAGATAACAGAACAGGAAGGTAAAGAATCCATGTCCTCATTGGCATCTTGCAAGTCACCAGACTGACCATGAATTACTTACTCTCCAGGCCTATTGCTACATTGGAGGAAGGGAGAGTCTTACTTGCTAAATAATTGGACTCAGGGTTCTATTACATTCATTAAGAGATTATTTGGAGGAGTATGGCCAATTGTATTAAAAGTACCACATTCAAGCGAGAATGGATCAAGTAATATCTTATTATTAAAGACCTAAAATGGACACTCATTTGTCTAAAGTTAATAGATCACACAGTTATATACAAAAGACACAGCTACATCCACTTATACAAGCCATTCAAAGCAATCAAATACTATCTATTTAATGTTAATTGAATTGAGAGTACTTTTCCTGAATAAATTATCCTTTTTTGCTATATTGTACAGAAATACTACAGACCTAATGGAACTGTGTAAACTTTAACATAAAAACAAATAGACTTTCAATTTAGACAACACAGGCAAGAGATAGTTATTCCAGAATGTAACTTCTCTTCTACCTGGATAGTAGGTAAGTGGAAAAGTATCTAGAATAGAGACTCCTGAATTTGGTATATGGAATCCTGGCTGTTCACTAGTTGAATGGTACTGGACTGATCATTAGAACCTCTAAGTCTCAGTTTCTTCACCTGTAAAATGGGGATAATACTACTTTTTCTGCTTATTATACAGGGCTTTGCAGAGGATAAAATAATATACAGTAAAGGAAGCTACTTTATAAACTGTAAATTGCTATACAGGTCAGGGTAACATGACTATGATTACCACATAAATATAAACTTATCCTTAATTATCTGGGAGGTAACTATATAGAACTTGAATTATCAGATACAGTGCTATATGCTCCTCCCCTCATTGACTATTGGCCATTTCACTAGCACTAAAATAAATGAAGCAGGGAAAATGCCAGAAGCTAAAAGCCAGAAGAAAAAGTCTCCTTAAATTAAAAAAAATAAATTATAATAAAAGTTTGCAAGAGGAAAGGAAGAAAGCAGGGAAAACAATAGATGAAGCAATGTGGTTGAAATGACAAGTTAAATTCACCATGTGGGGGTCAGAGAAGTATAACCCTATATTCTCCTTTTAAAATAATAACTAACTCACCTCTTTAGAAAACAGCTCTCAGTGACTCAATATAGCTGCTCACTAATTATTTAACAATAAGTAGAAAACAGAGCAATAAAAATACCTTAGAAAAAAAACAGCTGATTTCAAAGGAAACACACTTGCTTAACTAGGAATTCAGCCTACATGTGCTATATACCCTGTGATAAGGTACAGGTCTGCAAGTCTTCAATCGCTGTCACACTATTTCCTCACCATCAGCAAGCCCCACCTTACCTGCAGCCACAAACATACAAAGATACAAAGGGGATCTGATCTGTCTAACTAACGTAGGCGTCTGTAAGAATACATTAAGAGCCCAAGGGACTATGGTGATGGTGCACGCGTGAAAATGGTGGTGGGAATTTCATGGGGAAATCATACATTGTACAAATACGAAGAATGATGTAATAAATATATATATATAATAAATAAAATAAATTACTTTCATCATAAAAAGAAGTATACATTAAGGTGGATGCAGACTGCCTTAGAGCAGCAGTGGTGGCAGCAGTCAGTATGGGTGGGACTATATGCCCAGTGTAATGGCGTCAATGATTTGAATTTTGAAGCATGTGCTTACAGCCTCAAGTAAAGACTTCATTAAAAAAATAGTCATAGTTTCCTTTCCAGGAATCTTGAGAGGCTAAAAAACAACCAGCTCATCCCCAGAACACACAACTCTGCCATTCTTTTTTTTTAAGATTTTTTTTTTTTTGAAGATCTATTTATTCATGCAGGCCAGAGATGCAGGGGGTGAGAGGATTCACCAGAAACAGAGTGGGGAACAGAAAAGGCAGATTGACCGAAGTACACTGATGAGGGGAGCAGCAGGCGAGTCAGGAGAGGGCTGCTGCGCCATGTGGGTTGCTCCCTGACTTGCCAGGAATCGAACTTATGCTTCAGTGGCTGTGGATAGCTTCATAGGTTGTGTCTTAACCCTTGTGCCACCAGGGAGGCCCCTTTTAAGATTTATTTATTTATTTATGCATACAAGAACTGGGGTACAGGCCAGAGGTATGGGGGGGGCGGGGGTGAGCAGATTCACTAGAGACTGAGTGGGAAAAAGAACAGGTAGACTGGCTGAAATATGCTGCTCAGAGGAGCAGTGGGCGAGGCAGAAGAGGTCTGCTGCGCCATGTGGAAAGTTCCCTGATCGCCCGTGGGCTTGAACTTATGCTGCAGAGGCTGCAGATAGTTCCACAGTGTTGTGTTTAACCCCATGCACCACCAGGGAGGCCTTACTCTGTCTTTCTATAGGAATACCCTGCCTGGCTTGTGCAGTGTGGCTCCACCTTGATGTCCTGATCTGCATCATGCTGTAAAACATGAATGCCCTTCAAAAGAATGATAATAAAAGAGAGAGTGCCCGCAGATAAGGAAAGCTGGCAAGGGCACATGGTTATGGCCTGGCAGTGGAAACCAAAGAGCGTAAACTGCTTAACTTATTCTTCAGATGATGGGTGTTGTGAAAACATTTGTGATGGATCATTTCCTGCCACATCAACCTTTTAGGGAATACTATGCAAGCTTTTTTTATTTTAACATCTAAGATCCACTTGTTAAAACTGTGGCTCCTTCTCCCAATTTTTATGAGAAGGTACATGCATTTTTTTTTTTTCCTGATTTCTGCCTGAAGCAGCCTCTTCACTGGGTGGGAAGCTGTGGTCAAGCTTTGCTGTAATGGTTCTGTCTAGAGTGGAGTTAGGTCTGGGAGAAGTTAGGTCTTCCTGTGGCATGGCCTTGGCTATGGGCCCCTAGCTGTTTGAAACAATGTAGCCCTAATCTAGATCAAGAGATGGTCCAACAGGCGCCAATCTACAAGGGATTCTAAACTGACAGGCACTTTCCCAGGTTCATTTTCAGCAGAGCTGTTCTCAAGGAGGGTTCTCCTTATTGTCAGAAAAAATACAATTACATACTACTTATTCCCCATCTCCCTGAAGATCAGTCCTTAATGTGTAAGACCAGCTATCTAAGTTGCTAAATTGTCTTCTAAGGAAGTTCTGGCTTTCCTCTAAGCTATTTTTCCTTCAAAGTAGGATGCAAACCCAGACTCACAGCTGGATTTCTGGGGCGGGGAGTGGGGGCTAGAAGTACTCTATATCCCCTTACAAATTAATATGGACCATGTGATTTAAAGAAGAATCACATCAGTCAGTCCAAGATACTCACATCTCTTGCTTTGAATGTGCCCACTGCCCTGTATTCTTCCTCTTTGGAAAAATGGTTAAAGAAATACAGACTCTCTTGACCCAATGTTTTCTGTTCATTAAATGAGCTGCTGGGTTCCAGAACTGCATGCCCCCAGAGTAAAACAAAGTTATTAACCACTGTTTTGTGAGGCAAATAAAACTGTCAGACCAGATTTTTTTGATAGGATGCACTTAATAGGAAAAGACCTAGGGTGTGATTCTGAGCTCACCAGAAATTCTTTCTCAGGTGTTTAGGGCTGCATGGCAGAAGAGATGTAGACTTTGTGGAATGCATTCCACAAGAGAAACAGCTCTCAAGGTGGAGAATAACATTAGTCCTCAATAGTGCTATGTTTTACAATAGGAATTAATTAAGCAGTAAACCGTGACAGGACATGCATCATGGAATCATAATCACAAGCCTCAGCTGCATTACAAGGCAAAAGGCCAAAGAGAGAGAGCTTTCAACTGGCCTGGGAATGCAATTAGGGTGAAATGCTGTGCACCCAGAGTGCCTTTATGCCAGGTTAAAAATTCATAGATATCACTCTCTCCCTTTAGAATACTATAATAATGTACTTTGATGGAATTCTCAAGCAAGCCAAGCCTCCTTCCCTCACCAATTCTTTCAAAGGTCAAAATAAAGGACAATGTGAAATTGGGAATGCCAATGATAAGCCAAGGTGAGCTCATGCCCAACAGCCTAGTATCCAAGATGGATTGGCTGGATTTTCTTGTGGCAGTGTCCCAACCTTGGCGAAACATCTAGCTCACTCTCCTGCGAGACTCATATTTGGCCCCAGCTTGTACATCCATGGGTTTATTGGACAACTGCTCCACAGTAGTTCAGAACTGCCATTTGGGAATGAATGGGAAGATCAACTACTAGATTTGTCATCATCATCAGTCAGTTAGCCTCAAACAATGTGTAAATGGCAAGCTGCACAATTTTTAGTTCTGTAGAAGAAAACTAAACAAAATGATTATCGATGTCTTTTGAAATGTCTAAGACAAAGATGTATGAGGGTAAACCACTCAAATTCTGTTCCCCCATTCATTACTCCCTTAAATGTAAGAAATTTAACTTATTCTAATTAAGAATCACTGGTCTGTAGTCTTTTATTCAAATCTGAAACTTCAGAAGAGTTAAGAAGCTTATCAGACTAATGAAGGAATTTTGCAAATTTGAATGTGTATAGATTTAAGTAAAAAGGTACAGACTCTAAAAGTGATCAACAGCCATTAAACAGTTAAAAAAAATAAAAACAACACTCACAGTAGACTGGTTACTAACTGGAAGTCATTTGAAAGCAATAAAAAAAAAATTCAAACAGTAAAATGATCTATAAATCCACTCTGGAATTTAGAACACAACCTTCTCTTTGGGGGTGAAAGAAAAATTACATTATCAATAGATACTGTTAGCACAATGGATGTATATACTGTAATGGTATGAAAACTAAAACTACCCTTCTTATCTTCTCAAAACATCAAATTGTACTAATAGAAGTTTCCCCACTCCACAAGAATTCCACAGTTCAGTTCATAATAATAGAGTATATGTTGTACAAGATAAGAGAAATGAGGAAAAGTATTTATTTTCTTTAGAAAAGCATTGGCAAAAGGTTACTAAATGGAATCACAAATGTTTACAACACTTGACTGAAATTCTTATCGCTGTTTTCCCACAAATCCAGCAGCCTGGTGCCCAAGGCTTCTGCATTCCTACTATCCCCTTCCTCAGCCACATCACCACATCAGACAGCTGATGGCCAGTGTATTTCAGTATTATCTCCTCCACCAGTGCCCGGTGTTCATCGTCCACAGTGCCCGGGCAGGGAGCTAATCACTGTGAACTCCAAAGCAGACTTCTAGGTAGCCTTGAAAATGAGCACCTCCCCAAACACTTCTGCAGGTGGCACCAGGCCTGTTCTGACAGCATGGGCCTGCCATGGGCATTAGGTGCTATCTCATGAACCTAGAACCAATTGGACTTCAAGGATCTGGAAGAGGTCATGCTAAGTAGCACTTCTCACCTGCTGCAGGATGTGTCTTTCCCTCAGCGTCATTAACCTTCTGTGAAGCTCTACCAGTTCATCTAGGTAAGCCTGAAAGAGAAGAGGGTGCCCCCCAAATGGGAGAATGAATGAACAAGTACAAGTGGCAGTTGGAGGCTCCCCACTCAACTCCCCTAGCCCAGGTTGCACAGACTCAGTGCCCAAGGTCTTGCAGGCCAAGTCTCTCTTGGCCACAATAACCATTACAAAGCCAATTTTTTAAAAGGCATTTTAGCAATTATTTGTCCTCAATAAGATTCAAGTGAGCCCAAACATCCTCTCCCAACATGCTGCTACAAAGGAAAGATGAACTCAACATTTAATGGTGAGTTTAAACAAGTTATCACAAGCCACTTTCATTTTTTTTAAATTCTTCAATCTTAGAAGTTCTTTAAGAGAAAAAAGGGATATGTATGAGTACATTAGCAACTGTGTCAGGGAAAATTCTTCAAAAAAATAATCTTCTTGGTCTTTTTGAACATTGCTAGCAAATAACAAGTGACAGAATAGAACATCTTAGGAAAAATAGAGGTCACCACCAAACCTAGCGTCTAGCTTGCTAGTGTTCCCCTCAAAGGGCAGAGGCACACCACTCTGTCCATGTGCTCAGACTCATGAGTCTCTTTCAGCAGAACCACATGGGTTCTTTGTGTCCTTTGCAGAGAAGGTAAAGGAAAGGTTTGTGAAGCATCTTGCAAAACATGTTGGGTTCCTGCCCACATCAGGTGATTAACCTCCCATAACAGGTCTTGCAGTCGGATTTCAATGCATAATGCACACTTGAGGGAAACACACACTAGGATCAGATGCCCTGTTCATGTACACCCGAGATGCCTTAACTACCAGCTGCCTCCACCTCAATTCTCTTACTTCCCATTTCATGGGCCTGAGATCCCTTGCCAATGCAGGCATAAAGGCAAATGAGAGCATGAGGCCAAACTTGATGCTGAAGATAGAAGACTCAGAAAATAAACTACAAAGCACTGTGGGGAAAGGCCCATCAGTTGGGGGTCAAGGGCAATTCTGATGAAAACAAAAGGAGAACCAGCAAGGGAGACTCAGGAACACAAAGGAAGAGAAGACTTGTCAGGACTGTGGCACTCAGACCGGAAACCTACCTTGTCACATTCACCATTCTTTATTTGCTTATCTGATTTGCTCTGCTTTATTGGACTTTTCACTTCAAGAATCTAGGAATCAAAAAGAACACTGGTAAATTGATTTCAAGCACTTCTCAGCTAAACAAAGGTACTCAAGAATGAAATGTCATACCATAACATCACTTTCTCAATAAATTTTCTCCTTTACATATTTTTCTGCTTCTAATCTTACTCTACTTGGAAAATAAATTACTTGTATTTGAAATGCTGAGTCAGAGCAACAGAACTTTAAAAAAAAAAAAAAACTTGATAAGAAAATTGATCCAAACTTCCAAAGCTGCTTCTCTTTTGTGACAACACTCTCACACATATGTACAGCAGCTGAGTTCTATTGGATTATAGTCCCCTCTGGCAAGAATTTGTTCTTATTCATTCTGCTGTTTCAGCATGACTACCAGTGGTTGGTATGCTAGGGATGATAAAACAAACACTGAAATGCCCTTTTTAGTACCTGACTTTCGGATTGTAAAACTCACTCATATCCATTAAATCGACGCAGCTTTGGAAATGAAGGTGGCCATCAGTTACACTGGCTGCTCCCAACTTGGAAGCGTCGGACGCAAGAAATAAGAAACTAGGACTACCTTCTATGTTTCAATAAGTGATATGTTTACCCAAGGTAAACACCAAATGACATTTATCTGGGCCAATTACAGCTTAGGCTATGAACAGGAGTTTTGCATACTGTTTGGACACTTTGGTGGGGAAGCTATGATTATAATTAATAAAAAGGAGAAACTATTTATTACTTAATAAGTATAGTTGATTTATTAGAATTTTCAAAATTGAGGCTTATGAGGAAAATATTTTTAAATGTCCCTTGTTTAAAATAGTTGCGCACCACTGAATTTATTGATGAGTATTTACAAATGTATATAAACATAAAAAGCAAAGTAATTTGTCTTTTTCACTATAACCTCATTACCAAGTGAGTTATTATAATCTGAAACTAATAGTAAGGAGGAAAATATCAAATAACAATTTATTTAAAGAAATGTCATATTCACACTGCTCTTTGTGCATTCTCAGTGCATGCTCTCTCTCTCTTTTTCACACACACACACACACACACATTACAATACTGTTCAAAGGTCTACAATAGACTGTAACACAAAAGATTTTAAAAATGAGTTCACTTTTAATGTGTAGTGGACAGAGCACTGACTGAGCTCAGAAAACCAAGTTCAGGACTTAATCCTATTTGTCAACATATTGGGAGCCCAGACTGAGATGAAATGAGAGATGAACAAGCAGATTCTCATTCAGCTATAAAATTTTATATTACTAATAAACATTTTGCCTGTGGAGGACAGGTCATGAGATCCAGGAAAGACTAAATACTTCTAAAAGGGTACATTTTCCTTGGAATTTAGAATAAAGGGTGAGTAAGAAGTAAGTCATATACAGTCTTTCCTGAGAATTCCTTTATTTAATTTTTAACATTAAGGTAACAGAAGACCAACCTGGCCAGGTTTACTTAACATACAATACTTTTGGCAACACAAGGAAGTTCCTTAATAACAGAGGCAAGGCTATCGGTCATAACATGCTCCACTGTGAAGGAAACCAAACACTACATTCAGAATTTCCTTCTCTCCATTGTTGTTGGAAATGAAACCTCAAGGGAAAACTCCAAGCTCAAGACCTAGGAGCAAATAGGTCAGTAGATGGCACTCCTCGCCAGCACAGATACCGGGCTGGGCAACACAGACAGTCTGCTGAGATTTCAGGCAGGAGAAGAAAACAGTGCCTGCTTGCGCATTAGAAAACTGAATCTTGTTGCCATCACATCCCGTCTTCACGCCCTCCATCCCCCAACTGCCTGCATTCTGGGTGTCAAAGTGACACTCCACTTGCAATGGAACTTTGCTAACTAGGTTTAAAGAGTTCTACCACCTTCTATTCAAAGCAGAAAATAGACAACATTTGGGCGCTGGAGTCCCACCCTACGCATTCCGTAAGTGCTACCACACAGAAGGCCAAACTACACTGAAATCCTAGTTTCTTTCTTCTGAAGCTGCAGTGGCAGGAACAAAAGCTCCGGGTGTCAGTGATCCGCCTCAAGTTACTGAGTGGCTGCCCAGAGAGGGCTCAGTTAATCTTCCTGCTTTGATCTCTCCCTGCTCCAAAATAAACAGCTTTGTCAAAACCTCACTCTGAGAGAGCTGAGCCCTGCTGAAGACAATTGTTTTATTTATGATCATTTCTTATCTTTAAGGAAACAATCCCAGAATATAAAAGCGCAGCACCTTGTCTTCCATGGACTTATTTCAAACCAGTTTAACGAGATAGACTCTTTAATTTCATTCAACGTGTCTCGCAGGCTGATAGGTGATTTATGATATTCTGAATATTAACTTGGGTCCAATGGACCACTTCTTTCCTTCCAGGCACCTCTCTGCTCCCTCCCCTTCATACTTTTAGCCTAAAAGGAGCTTGTATTTTGATTGTGTTTGAAATTCACATGAGGTTTGAAGATTTAAAAAAATGCTATCTCTGGCTAAATGGCACAACACTCACTATTATTCCTTGTTAAGCTGTACTGAAGGAAAGTGCCACCCAGGCGGCCGAGATGCCCCATTTATACCCATGGCAGTTCTGAAAACAGAACTGTGATTAGTGGCACTTTTGTCCTTAATCTGAGGCTACGAATTGAGAATCAAAATTTCAAGATTATTATTTTTCTGTACGCTCTGTGAGGATTGACAACTCAATTATTCAGCAGATGGATTCTCCACTGATAAGTCTTTCATGTTAATGATCACTAGTAGCTCTGAACAATACTCAGGTTAATTACTTGCTTTGTTGACATGTGGCTTTCTCTCTGCTCACTTTTTTTAGCAGTTAGAAAACGTTTGACTCAATTAGCACTTTCCCTCTTGTCTACTCCTTGGAAAATTTGAGAAAAGGTAAAAGAAAACTCAGCTTTGCCTGATAATTTGCAGAAATGTGAGAGATCATTAGCAATCGGCAGATAGAAAACAGCCCAGGAATGTGGAAGAAGGAAGCTCAGTTTTCCTATTTCATAGTCTGGCATGTTCATTTATTTTATCTGATGTGAAATTTCAGATTATTACACATACATATTCAAATATAAGACTAAAGCATATTCCAGGGTGAGATTTAAGTCCCTTTTAGATCTTAATTTTTTTTAGCATTTCATTTCTTTGGAAGTTCTATAGCTAGAACACTGACTTGATGACATCACACCTGATCCCATGCAGGTGATTGGAGGGATTAGGAAATCAATATCAAACAAAGTTATAAAATGCTTTTCTTGTTTTCTCAATTCCAAAACACAGCTCCAAGGAGGTAAGCACTCTTGTAGTACCTATATTTCCTACCCTGGGCTGGCTAAAAGCAAAAGCACATGGACTTTCCTACTATGTTTTAAGGTGCATGGAGAAAGCTACACAGAACAGAAGTGAGTATTCCTGACAGATTGATGATTCACATGTGGGAAGCTACAATTGTCAAATAAGCATATGCCAAGGAGCCAGTGGTGTGCTACTTCATCAGATAAAGTAACTTTTACCCTTTCCAGAGAAGTGACACTATTCGTTTTTGTTTTGCAATTCAGATTCTTTTTTTAAAGTCTGACCAAGAACCCTGAAGCCAGGGTCAGCTCAACATTGCCCACTCAGGAAGAGTTCAGGGCAGCTATTAGGTTTAAAGGTCAAGATAGGGTCTTGTTGGAGCTGCACTTAGCAAGGACAGTCTTAACCCTGACTGGAAAAGATGCTGAAAGAGATTAATGAGGGGCACAAAAGCTCACCCAAGACCCTTAACTCTTGGCATGGACATTGCTATCACCCATGAAGTTCCCTAGTTTAATATATCATCCTACCAGAAGCAAAAATCAGGGCTAAACAGCTCTAAATTGAATATAAAACTATATCCAAGATCCAAAGTTTATTGTTCTGCCAGCTCTGGCCATAGTACAAATTTACAAAGGACTTGCCAGTGATCTAGTTAGCCAGCCCAGGATTCGCCTCAACTGACAGGCCATGATGGGTCCACCCTAAAGTCTCCACCTTCCCTTGAAATGCTTGGCTTGTGATACTGGGCAGCTGTGCCAGAGATGAAAGCTGGTTGGGCCACGGGCATGGCTGAGTACAGCTGACACTGGGCATGGGGAAATGCATGGACTGTAGGGAGACAGGGTAAGTGAGAGGAGAGGAGTGTACTAATTCCAACTGTAGCCCATCTGCAATGTGTGATGAGGCTGGCATGTGTTCATATGTATGAAAAAGAGAAAGGACAGCTGAACTATAACCGGTAACTAATGAATGCTAATAATATTCCTATGTAACAATGATCACTAAGTTATAGACAAACTTTATAAATGAGAAATTATAGATTTTAAGGTCTTTGCTTATGCTTTGTGCAAAATTTAAAAAGAAAAAGTCTTCGGCTCTATAATCACATTTTCCCATAAAACAAAGATCACAAATTCAAGGACAATGTCATTAAAATTGTAGGACACCCATGAAAGAATTCTAGAAGGGCGCAGTTTTTTTAAATTTTCAAGTTAATATTCATACAGTAACTTGAATTAAGCAATTATCATAGAGGTCACAGGGTATCTGTCTAAACAAAGAGATAAGAATAACCTACAGTAATGAGAATATCAACAGAACACAATGAGGCTTTTACAATATTCATGATAACTTCAAAATAGTTTGTTTTAATAAGCATTTAAAATATCTCAATTATAATCATTTGTTTAACAAAAGCTCTTCATCACAGCTTCAATGTCCTACTAGACCTTACCCAAATAACTATATTCTGAGTTGACTGTCAAATTAGTAAGCTTTCCTTTAGCTCAATTTGTAAAAACAATGATAATGACCATTATTTACTCTGCATTCTATGAACAAATCCTATAATCCCAGGTGATGATTCTCTTTTCCCGGATGAGCAAACAGAGGCAAACTAACATCCAAGTGATAGATAAGAAGGTTTGGGCACTGCCTCAATGTATTATTTATCATCTTTCCAATAACCAGCAAGGTAAGTATTAATATCCCTGTTTACAGATGAGAAGACTGAGGATCAGTTTTCTGAGGATCAGAATTTAACAACAATAAATTAGTGTAAATTAGGAAAGCAAAGAACCAAGATCCAAGATCTATATTAACCCCAAAGATTATATTCTTTGTAAGGTATTATGTTGTCTACCTACTGCTGGGGTGGAGGGTTATATAGACATCAGGAGTAAATGGACAACCCATTTTGTCACCATCTTTTCTTGCATCTATTTATTGAGTTGTCGGAGAAGTCATGATGTATTTTTTCTATGTTTTTCAAGCAAAAATGCGTCATGACTTTTCTGAAAACCCAATAATTCACTCATCCAAAGGAACAACAACAACAAAAAATCAGGATAGTATTTCTTTTGCTTTTCATGACAACAGAAATTCTTTTACCCTAACTACGTGCTTATTCCTACGGTTATAGATTTACTTTTGTATGATATCAAGAGGGACTTTGCTTAAAATTAAAATGTTTAGTCTGCTTTATAAAAATGATCACCTCTAATTCTGCAAAGTCTTAAAAAATGCAAATCCAGCAACTTACCTGGTTGTTGTTGGTTTTTAATAAGGGTGGTGGGGGTTCATGATGTAGGGGTGAAGAAGCAGAACTGCTTTCACTATCACTGCCATCACTTAGGCTAACTCTGAAAGGAAACAGAGAAAGAAGTCATATACATCATTAGAAATAGGTGATTCTTAAAACAGTCATGCAATAAGCAAAGAGAGCAAGGAATCCAAACACTGATCATTGAAAATTGTTTAACTCTCACCACCACTGACATATATTGGCACTTTCTTGTATCTGCAACTCTGGAGTTCTGCCTGCTATTTCTCATTTAATGGTTATTATTTCACCGATGAGAAAATTAAAATTTAGAGAGACTGGGTCACTCACCTAAGGTCACAAAGGTAAAAAGTGATGGTTCTAGGATTCAGACCCAAGCAATGTGACCAAAGCTGGTGCTCAGACACTATACTTTACTGGTTTCATTTATTCATTTACCTCCCTGCTCCAGCTCTGCCCAACTATCATTAAGCAGGTCACCTAAGCTTGCAGGAGGTCAGCAAAATTTCTATCCCCTCCCCCCATCTCTTTACTACATGTAAAAATTTACAAATATGGTTAAAATAGTGTGCAGGATAGAAGCAATTGTTAAGAAGAATGTGGACGACAGTCCTGCAGGCGTGACAGCTCAGAGTGACAGCTGAGGATAGGATGTGTGAACCACTGCTAATCAAGGCTGCCCGTAGTTCTGAACGCTGATATAACAATTCATTAGAAATATATGCTGGCAACATGAAGAAGCAGTGTGTTTGGGATAACTGCTTTAGAAGAATACAGTGATGTTTTTCACAATGAAAGACAATAAACACATCACCTCTTCTATTTTTTCTTTTCAAAACAAAACAGAATCTTCTTTTAGCTGGAATAATAAACATCTTTATTCTGTTCTGCTGAATACCTGTCCTCCTTCAGAAATGTCCTTCAGTCCTTGCTTCCTCCTTGGCTATATAGTTACCTAATATAATATTCCTCTCAGAAACAGAAAATGCTTTAGAAATCAGGATAGTTTTTCTTTTGCTCTGAATAGGCAATCACATCCTAGATCTATAATATATTCAGATAGACAAAATACAAGATAGGAAATGAAAAGGATACACTGAGACATCCTTTTCGTAAAAACCGATGGAACTTGTTTTTCTTAATGAAATTACATTAATGAAGTGTTCCGTTGAAGCACTGCTTTAAAATGCTTCTTGACTGAAGTGGAAGGCTGAGTATTTAAACTGATTAAACAGTTGAGACTTCGCAAATGCAGTGAAGATCAAATGTTACACGATTGCTGCTGAGCTAAGGCACATGTCAGACAAGGGGACAAAAGAGCGACTCCAACACTGGATGACCAGACAAGTCACCAACGTGTGCCATTTGACCTCCAACAACTGGGGACAGGTCGGTAAGTGGTGGGCAGCGGCCTAGTGCAGGAAAGCTATAGCTTCTTTACAGCAATAACAGGAAATTGTCTAAGTGTGTCGTGCATTTTTCATCAGCTAGCTGTGAGACTAGACTCTGGTCAGGATTTGGTTGTTATTAATGTGCTTCACCTTCCTTCATTGCTGCCCCAGTCAGTAACCACTCCCTTTTTCTTAGACTAAAAACTTCTCAAGGGAAACGTCAAAAAGTCAAGACCATAAGGTTTCTTTTTTTCCCCCTGCTTAGAAGGAATACGATACGAACAGGTGATTTTGGGAGACAAGAAGAGAGGAACTGAATACAGCTCTAAAGAAGAACCATTGAAAGGTGTCACAGGAGTGTCTGCTCTAAGGAGTGTTTGCTCCAAAGACAGAGGAAACACATGGTCTGTCCAGTTTGGGTTAAGATCCTTTTCATTTTAGGAATTTTAGGGCCTAAACAGTAACAGATAATGCAAAACGCTTCAATGTGATATATTATAAATGTAATTGACTTTTAAGTTCAAGTAGATTCATACTTTTACTACTCAAAACACATTAAAGTGAGCATGCCTATTTGTTTTCCTCATGATAAAGAAATAAAATCCTCAAGGCAATTTCAAGTTGACTATTAATTATAAGTGACATGAATTACCATCTTATAATGTGGAATTATGCCTCACAGCATTAAAGCTCCTTAAGGAAACTAATTGTCAGCACACTTAAAAGGAATTTATTTTCTGGAAAACACACACAGGTGATCCCAGTTTTAATTAGGTCACACACATAATTCACTGAAACCAATTATGTATTTCTAACTACAAGCAGCAAACACGTTCCTTCAAATTCATAGACAATCTACAGCAATAGGGAGACACAAACCTTTCAAATTAAAGCAGACTATTTCAACATTCAGTCTTACCACCTGGGCATAAAATTCCAAGAATAAAGCCTTCTAATAAGACTTTTTCCCTATCCAATTTTCAGAGGAAAAAATCTCTTTTCTCACAGAGAGAGAGAATTCCCTGAAGAGATGAGTGCACACATGTACTTCATTGTCTTTGGTGTTTTACACGTTTGTTGCATATAATGCTAGTGAGGCTGCTGAAAAGATAGGACTTCATTGGTAGGGAGCCACCTTCCTTCCAAAACACTCACCTGCGACTTCGACTGCCTCCTCTATTTACAGGTCTCTCCATTTCAGAGTCATTATCATTATCCTCTGCCTCATCTGATTCCTCCTCATTGTCATCAGAATGGAGATCTTTCATTATAGACCTTAAAGGACCTGAGTAATGACAGTGAATCACAGGGAGTCAAACACACTACTTCAAACATACCGGGCCACATTAGACACAGGGGAATGCTCACCAGCACTGAATACTGGTTAAAAATAACCATTATCATACATATTTATACAATGTACAAGACAAATTTGGTAATTTCTGGAATGCAACCTCTACCAAAGCACTATAATAGATACCCCCCAAAATTTGGTTCATTAGAAAATCTCTATTTTCTAGGAATCTTTCCACATTTTTTTTCTGCTAAGAAAAATTACACCTAAGAAGAAACAGAAAGATCTATTAGTAAATTGAATGTTTTGTTAGATTAATCCATGCATTGAAAAGTTGAGACTAATAAATCACTGTGGTCGTAACTTGTTCTTGGCAATGCAGCCTTTGTGTGGTAGTTTTTGATCTATTAAGGTTTAGCTGTTCCTTTTATTTCAAGGTCAATTTCAGGTCAAGCAAGCATTTCAGTCAAGTTCAGATTATAAAGTATTTCAATTCCATGCTGGAACATCCTATCTCTGATCTTCATATCGATCTCAGATACAAGGTCTTGTTGCAACAATTTTATACAGCTAATTTTCATTTTACTTTTTAAGAAATTCCTAGCAAAATACTAGCATGCATTTACATAAACAGCACCATGTAATAAATCAGGTGCCCAGGAAATTCAAGAGTATCCAGTATTAGATGGGAAGAAAAAAAAAAAAAAAGACATAACTAATTTTATTTTAAAACAGAACAGAAAAAACAAACCTCCTTTGTATGGCTTATTTTCACTTTACTACTCTAAAGTTGATGAAAACAAGATAGGTATTTTCAATGTTAAAAGAAGCAATCAGAAAGTGAGAAAGGCATTTTCATCCAGGGTCAGGCAATTCCTAAAGTCTAATCTATGACAGGAGTAACTGAGATATCACGAACTCACTTCTAAAATAAGGAATGACTTCCTGCAATCTCACATACTGCAAAAGCCAAATTTCTGTTTTTTTGTAGTGGGCTTCTATCTCTGGAAGTCAGTGGAACAAGAAAGTTGAATAGTCCAAACAATCAGTGTCTTCTATTTTATTTTTTCCTAGAAGCTTAGCTTTAGCCCAAACACACACACAGCAATTTAATCCTTTTCAAAACATACAAAACCATCAGGAATTCAGTGTGTTCAACAAAAAAGGTAATGTGCATTATGATGCTCAAAGACAAATAATTCCTTAATATTGTCACTTTTCTTTTTTTAATATTGTCACTTTTCATGTGAAAAAACAGACTATATTTTAAGATTATAACTAGCTAAAATTCTAGCTTGAATTTCTTTACAAAATTTCTTTATATTTGAGTGTGAGTAGAGAAAAATATATTTTAAAGACAGCAAATTAACACTGGCCAAAGGAAGAGTTCTATTTTTCTGTAGAAAAATAATAAAATGAAAAATGTCCAGGAGGGAGAGTGAAAACCAATTTCTCTATGTCAAAGCCTCTCAAGTCCAGCATTTGCTATTGTCTTTCCTTTGGGAACTGCCTGGAATGGGCTGTGTCTATAATCCTTTTGTAAAATGGGACTCTGATGGCAGGGACTGGTGAAGGGAGATTTCTAGAGCCAGACCTCATACATCAGAACAATACTCAAGTGCATTCCTAGGGGAGATAAATACAACTGCATAAAAGCCAAGTTATCATTCAAATAATAAAACGGTAGAAAATAGGCCATAAATCAACTCATTAAGATGTTTTATGAGGAAATGTCTCCTAGTTTGCCTGGAGATGTGTTACCTTGTTGCCTGGTCTGGGATGGTGTGAAGCTGGAGCTGGAGCTGGAGCTGGAACTGGCAGGACTGGGTTGTTCAGACTTTAAGGAAGAAGAGAAAGTCATCATCAATAAATTTATGGGACATTACACATCTAAGATTAAGAACAATCTCATTGCTCAAAAATATTTTTCTCTGAAAAAACAGCCAGGCAATGCCAAAGAAAAATGACAACACATTGCATTATGTCAAAAATACGAACACAGGAGAGTTCTGGTGTCCTTTCGGTTTTGTGCTCCGTATTTTTACTAGATGCAGAAACAAATACATGGATGAGGAGATCAATTCCTGGGTGTTTAATGAGGGAGGAAACTGGCTTTGATTTCACTATGTTTACTGAGATTCCAGATCTCTTTCTAAAAGATACCTTGATTACACTTTCTGTAATGTCTGATTGACTCAAATGGTTTAAACATAGTGGTAATGAGGACAAGGTCATCAGTCCAATCACATTATAAAACAATATCACTGTGGTCCAAGGCCATGATACACCCTAACCTCATTCACCCGCAGTTAACAAATGGAAGCTGATGCTCACAAGAAGACTTGGTCAAGTCCTGCAAATGAGTCAGGGGAAAATGTTGCCACTATTTATTTTTTATTTTTATTATTTTTTAAAAGATTTATTTATTTATGCATACAAGAGCTGGGGCACAGGCCAGAGATGCAGGGGTGGGTGAGAGGATTCATCAGAGACAGAGCGGGGAACAGAACCAGCAGAATGACTGAAATACACTGCTGAGGGGAGCAGCGGGCGAGACAGGAGAGGTCTGCCTCACCATGTGGGTTTCACCCTGGCTGGCCGGGGATGGAACTCGTGCTGCAGAAGCTGTGGACTGCTTCATAGTGTGGTGCTTAACCCCTTGGGAGGCCCTGTTGCCACTATTTAAAAGGAAAGCACTGATTCATTCCAGTCTACTGATGGTAGGGAAAGCACAACAGGTATACCGCCTGGTCTCTCAGACAATTCTCCTGTCTTTTAATACCCAGAACAAGTTCCACATCCTCCTTGATCTGACCTACTCACCATCCCTATCTTTCTCCAAATCCACTGAAAAGACGGATCTCTGCCTATCAGATATGCTGCCTCTAACGTGTCTTTCCAAGTAGACTGACAGCAATGGTAAAAGTGGGGATGTCTGTTTTTTGCTTCTTGTTACCCCTCATACTTAGCATAATGTTTTGCCTATAATGGACACTCTATATCAGTGACTGATGTCACATGAGGCCCTGTTTCAGTGTCTGCCACAGCTTTTACTAGAGACTTAATAGCAGGCAAAGATGAGAAGGAACCAGTATATGCATAGAATTGTGCTAAGAACCAGATCATACCTGTTTAAGGCCCACTTAATTTTAAAATAATTTAATGTTGATAAACGTGGTGCAAGAGCGAACTATTTCTTTTTTTTTTTTAAAGATTTATTTATTTATACAAACACTGGGTACAGTCAGAAGCGCAAGAGAGTGAGAGAATTCACCAGAGCCAGAGCGGGGAACAGAACAGGCAGACCCACGAAATACACTGCTGAGGGGAACAGCGGGTGCAGCAGGAGAGGTCTGCGTGCCATTTGGGACCCTCAGCGGTGGCCGGGGATCAAACCTGTGCTGCAGAGGCTGTGGGCAGCTTCGCAGCCCAGTGCTCAACTGCTGCGCCACCAGGGGAGGCCCAAGAGTGAACTTTTTCTATCTCATGTCTAACACACTTATCACCTCAACTACATACTCATGTTTTTTGAAAACTGTTTTCAGGTTTTTTGTGTGCAGAATACATTTCACTCAATGTGTGACCAAGTATACCGGGGGCAGGAGGAGGCCAAACTAAGAACACAAGTCACTGAACGAGGCTGAGCATCTCAGTTCAGTTTATATTGTAGTTTCTCACAACTGCATTTTTTCATCTCCCTTCCCACACCGAAGCCTCACCCCCTCCTCCCCAAGCAACACCAAGCTCCACAGACTTGGACACAAGGAAGCACTTTCAGGCATTCCGAACACACACTTCACATCCCCGGGCTGGATGGGAAAACAGGTGTCAGCAATCTACCACTCATTCTGCAGGAAAAGAGCCAGACGGGGCCTCTAATGAGCAGCAGGCGACCCACTAACCCTTCACCACTGCAAGCTTCACTTGAGATCTGCAGTACAATGTCCCACACATTGCTGTTGGCGGCCCACAAAGAGGAGTTGGTTTACAAGCACAAACGCCTGTGTGAGGTACTCTTCATTCTGTTGAGTGGCTCTTCCACGGTGGAGCCACAACGGTGAGTCACACAACTAAAAGGGCATTCACAGTTAGCATTTCTGTGCAATGCCCAGCTGCAAAACATTTTTCCCGAGGTCCAAAGAGTATTCCTTTTCCTCTCTAGGTTGCTCTTTCCAGCCATGTAAAGTATCTGCAAATGGTATAGCTCTGGAAACTATTTAGCAGTCAAAAAAGTTTCCTCACAGTGAGTGGAGAGAGCTCGCGTTCCCCATCCTGCCTAAGCAATACACGTTGCACTAGACTTAAAGGAGCCAGAGCTATTTGCTAAGAGTGACATGAATTAGGATAGCAAGACAGGATGGTAGTTGTCTCGCCAACTGCCTCATGCTGAACTAGACCTGTCTGTCTCAAGCACCATGCCAATATGGGCCAAACCTGGAAGTAGGTTTCTTTTAGCTGGTTAACCATAAACAAGGTTAATAATTCCACAGTGGCTAACCATCAGAAAATTGACAAACAATAAAGAATACTAAAGAGGAAAAAGACTTTTGAGTTGTCTCATTGAATTCATGGATCTTCTATTGTAGATTTCAAATGCTGCCTAGAAGAGGCAGGGCTTTAATGATAAACATTGAATTAAAAGTTCAAAGCAATAGAGGAGGATGGAGGACAGAGAGTTGAATGATTAGCAACAAAGCAATGACCTGGAAGCATTTTGCAATCAGGACAAAAAAATGTAGGGTTTTAGAGCCAGGATGTATGAGATGACTGAAGGCAATGAGTCTCACTTTTGTGGGAACCAGAGTAACCTGGAGGGCATAGGACCCATCCCCAGAATTTCTTAGCAAATTTTTTCCTCTTTTTTTTTTTTTTTTTTGCATAGAAGAACTAGGGTGTAGGACAGAGATGGGGGTGGGGTGAGAGGATTCACCAGAGACAGAGTGGGGAGCAGGTCAGGCGGATCTACTGAAATACACTGCTGAGGGGAGCAGCGGACAAGACAGGAGAGGTTTTCTGCACCATGTGAGGGTCAGCTTCCTGGCCTGGGATCAAACTCACGCCAAAGTGGTGATAGCACTGAGACTTGACCCCTATGCCACCAGGGAGGCCCCAGAATTTCTGATTTAATAAGTCTGGGATAGGGATAAGACTCAGACTCCTGATAAATTCCTAGGTGATACTGATGCTTCTCTTTTGGGGATCAACCAGACTTTTGAAAACACTGATCCAGGAAGCAGAGCTTCCCAGCCATGGGTATTCATCAGAATTGGCTGGGGGGAGGGGATTCTGTATAGGAAGAGATTCTGACTCAATCGTTTTATTGAGTTTTGTGTGTGTTGGGAGCTGGGGTGGGGAAGGATAATCCAAGCATGTTTATATTTTAAAAGCCCAACAAATGATTTCAGTGAAAATTCCAGGTAAAGCACCACTGATGTTACATTCATCACTTTTTTTTCCAAAAGGCAAAAAAAAAAAAAAAAAAAGCAACCATGTTTTTAAGACAACCTTAAATTTCTGAAAGCATAAGATCTTGCCATCCTGAAAAAAACTTAAAACTTATTGCTCTATCCAGAGATGGCATCCCTGCATACCCTTCAAAGTGTCATGTAAGAAAGCACCCTAAAGGAACAGTTACCACTCAATAAAACATTTAGGAAGTATATACAATTTTATTGTGGTGCATGGATCTCAAACTAACCTAAGCTGACTAGGACAGAATTCAACTAAATGTTAACTGTTCAAAAAGCCTCTCTGTTATTAGATGAGGCTGATAAAATCTTACATTTGATCAAGTTTAAACAGAGCTGTAGCTCACTTTAAGTGAGGTCTGCTTTTTTATTTTAAAAGAACCAGAATGATGCTCCAAAAACAGAAGTCAATGGTGATTATGTAAACTCAAAAAGGTTATCTGTTTTACAAAAAATTATTCCCCATTAACAGGGCTACATTAAGATCTTTTCAGGTCCTAATAATTGAAAAGATTTTGGTATCCTCTTACCCCTCCCAGATGTGTATATGTGTGCATACACACCTATGCATGTGTACATAAAAACTAAGTCTAGAGAAGTCCAATGAGGTTCTGAGATGTCCCCAGGCTGACAAATTTGATACTTGTTTTGGAAATGACAAAATTCTCTCCACTAAAATCCCTTTTACTATGGTAGAGGATTATGGGTGTTTTAGTGGTGGGTGTGGTATGGCATACATCTCCTAAATCATATACAGTGTTGTAAACTGATGTTACCACAAAAAAATAAATGTTTCAGAGGAAAAAAAAACAACTTTTTTTTTGCTTCTTCTTGGTGATACCCTAAGCATATGCTTAGCTAACTTACTCCAGCACTACACATGAAGTTTCTTTAAGAGGTGTGCTCCACAGTGACAAAAGAACCTCAATCCCATTGCTTGCTAGTTAGTATATGTCTTGGGGAAGATCATTTAAGCATTCGTTTCCTCATTGAGTTAGGCCACTGATGTAGAAATGATAATGCTAAATTGAAACTATTAGCCCACTGCAAACCAACAGCTGGTTGCTACTAGTATGGACAATAGATCACAAACTTCTCTATTGCCTTAAACAAGATATAGCTTTACTACCAAAACAATGGGCCTACCAAGATTTGCAATGCAATCTTCAATTAAATGGCTATGCATAATCATTTTGTAATGGATTTTCTATGGAGGATTATTTTTGTCCAAGACAAGTAAGAAAAACCACATGTTTACAACTCCTAGAAGTTAAATGCTTTAAAAGAGAACACCTGTCAAGGTAGGTTACATGAGAGAGCTTGTAAAATCTGGCACTGTTCCTTACAGTGGGAGCAGACTTCCTCCTGA